ACAGCAATTGACCTTTCTGATCAGGAAAATCACATTACTGATAGTCACTACCAAGCCAAATTTTTTTTACTTGTAACTTTGATCTGGGTTCTGATTTAATTGTCAGTACGCTTATTCTGTAGCTCACCCCCATGATTTTTAATTAAAGCAGAATAAAATTCAGTCTATATCCAAATTTCATAAGAAATGTGAACAAACTTTTTGACTCTGATTAAACTGTTATAACTTATCAGTACAATGCTAAATATTATTACAACTAAATATTAATACATTTTTGAAACATTTATCACGTTTATTTTACCTTGTAAGTAAATTTTTTGATTGAAGAAAAATATTTTTTTTCATCTGTCATGTAACATAGGCTTCAATTACAACATAAATTTTCTAACAGACCCTGCCTTAATCTTGTCTTAGTCACATCTTATGAAACGATGACAGTACCCGGATGTGCTCATTTATGGTTGTTAATTATATATAATCTCTTCCAGGATACTGGCAGGACTGCTTTGACATGCCATGAACTTAAGGAACACACAGCAGAAGAGGTCTCTCCCCGTGATCGTGGTACTGGGCTCCTCAAAATGGTCACCCAACAGTCCATGCTGCTTGATGATCCTGATCGATACCTTTCCTTTTGCAAAGACGAAGAGTTGCTGCTTACTCACAGCAACCATAGCTCAGCTGTTCTTGGATTACAAACCAATTCTAATCCAAACGATAAAGATGATTTTTATGGACTAGGATGGCATGTGAAGACAGCAGTCTTTGAAACATTTAAAATAAGTGACCTGCACCCATGGCAGCATGAAATGCTTCAAGAGCACATCGTCTTACACAAGTGCAAGCGCAACTGCATTGTTGTAGCCCCAACTAGTTGTGGAAAATCACTTGTTGCATACATTTTGATGTTGAGAACAGTTTTTGTAGATGGGAAGGACTCCATCTTAGCACTTCCTTACATCTCTCTGGTTGATGAGAAAGCACGTGAACTTATGCTTCTTGCCAGTACTTTAACAGCTTCCGGTCACACAAGCCTTTCAGTTTCGGTGTATGCTGGACCAAGAGGCAGGTTTCCTGTCCCTTCTCGCAGTAACAGAATGCGCACGATATATGTCTGTACCTTTGAAAAAGCTGGTACTGTCTGGAGGAACGTCACTAATCAAGAAAGTCTCTCATCACAATCTGAGGCGTCAGCACCGTCCAAGAGAAGCATTGGGTTTGTTGCTATTGATGAATTTCACATGATTGGTGAGGGAAAGAGGGGATCCGTCCTTGAAGACCTGGTGACCAACATTTTATTCTGGTCAGGTATGAGCACTAGACTTTTGGCGCTTTCCGCCACTGTAGGCAATCCTGATTGTCTGGCATCTTTTTTGGGATGTGGGAACCCAGACAATTCTTTTCTGTATCGAGTGACAAGACGCACCTCGACACCAGTTCAAGAACACGTCGTTGTGGCCGGAGGGGCATTCCCGATTTTGAGGGAGGATGGTCTGGCGGCTGGGAAGATCGACTTCCAATCTGGTGCGTCTCACGGCCATGATGTGGGAATGGACTTTATGCAGAACACAGCCGTGCTGGGCGAGGACCCGCCACTGTTATGGCTGAGGATTCATCAGTTACGTCTGTTTGTTGAAAGATCGGCCCTCGTTATGCTTCCACATCGTCGTGGATCAGTGCAGATCGGTTTTCCAAGTGCAAATCGCATCCCCCTCAATGTACTTAGCCTATGTGAAGAGCTTCTGTCTAAGACTGATGAATCGGTCGTTCAGCAGTCTGGACTTAGTCTGCCTTTCGTACAATCCCTTGTTGCAGCAAAATCTGCTGCTGCAGACACAAACCCTGATGATATTTCGTTAGGTGCTGCAAAGGAATGGGAAAAACTGTCAGCGTCTCTTGTAGAAGTTCCTGATCCGTATGCCAGTCGAGGAGACTCATGCCGCAAGTCTGATGTTGACACTTGGGATCTTCGTATTGTTACTGGTCTCGTAATGGATGCAATGAGAACAAACACATCCGTTATAGTTTTCTGCAGCAGCAAAGCAGGTTGTATCAACTTGTGTGATGCACTAACAAAGACTGTGCATGTGCTCAAGAAGTCATCTGCCAATATTTTTCCTAGTACACCAGAGTGGATTGTGTCAGCACGTGCAAACATAAATGGCCATCTGCGTGTCGAGAGTTCAGGAATGGTCAACCCAGTTTTGCAGCGTGGCATCTGTGTCGGCATTGCTTTCCACTCGGCAGCCCTTCATGCGGTTGAACGGAAGGTTGTGGAATATGCATTCTCAAGAAAAATTATTTCTGTAATATGTGCTACGACCACACTTTCTGCAGGTGTAAATTTACCTGCAAATCGTGTAATAATACGTGAGCCGAGAATTGGTAGGGATTTTATAACATGTACAAAGTATCTGCAAATGATTGGGCGCAGTGGACGCCAGTCTCTTTCTGATGGAACTGCAGATTCGTATGTTCTTGTACCTTCTCTTGACGTTGGCCGATTTCAGCAATTGGTTGAGAAGCATGTAGAATGTGTGAGGAGCCAACTGATTCATGATGAGGCCTTCTTCAGGAAGAATGAGTTCCCTAATGAGGTAGAAAAAGATGGATTCAGTGGTGTTACGCGGATCCTTATAGGTCTTGTGGATATTGCCAAGATGATGACTATTTCAGACCTACTCACAGGCTACTTCATGACACTGCTAAATCAGACAGGATGTGATTCACTGGAGCCTGATGAAGAAGACAATGGCTTCGAATTGGGCACTGCTGAAAACAAAATGACAGCTGAGCCACTTCTATTAGAGCTCAAGGTGAGCAGGTCTTTGTGCATAGCGTTTGACATCTTAACATCTGTTTCAGACTCATCATCCTTCCATCAAAATTTATCAAGATATCTTATAAACAAATTCTCTTCATGCAGCTTTTATCCATCCATTGATTTCTTTGTTTACAGAAACTGATTAAGCTGAATTACATACGAATCACCTTTGATGACTCTATAAATGAGAATATCACATTGGATGTTAAAATATGGAACAAGGATGCAACGACCTCTCACCTTCGAGACAGGGCCCCCTGGAGTCCCAGTGGAAAAAATGATGTTTGTACCTCGAGGTTTGCATCTGAGAAAGAAGTGGAAGATGTTATCGCATCTCTCGATTTGGCAGTCTCCGCATTGCGTCTTGGCCACCAAATTTCACTTCCTCCGATCAGCCTGAGCCCTTCCTCTTTTGCATCTGCTGCTGCTGCAGGTAAATGCCTTTTGTCTGTAAAATATTTTTCACTTTTCCCTGCAGTTACTGATGGTCTGCTAACATGGGTCTTTTAATATTTTTTCCCCAGCCTATCTCTCCCTGAATGATGCCAGGGAATTCCTTGATGAAGCTGGGAAAATGGAAAAGCACATGTGTCTCACAAACCCTTTGGCACTGCTGTTTGTTTCTCTTACAGCAGACATGAGCAAAACAATCGCTACATCAGCAGGATCGATAGATACCATGCTCATTACTAAAGAGGTTTGTGGCACCTTACAACTTGTTTCAATGGCGTATGTACAGACTAGTGTGGCACATGTCTCATCTTAAACATCTCTTTCAGCTTGCGGTTAATTTTGAGCAGCACCCAGATGCAGAAATAATAAAGGGACTTGGAGTAACTAAATCTGAACTAGACCTTTTTCTGCGGGCAAATTCAAAAATTAGAAAAAATAAATCATTCTGTGATCGAATTAAGAAATTATGGACAGCACTATATGCGAAGGAGTTATTTCTTAGACCAGGTCAGTTTGAGGAACTGTGTCAGAGGTTCGGTTTTGACAGAGGTGAAGCCATTGAAATCAGCTCTACGCTTGCATCTCGATGTGCAAACCTCAAGAACTTTTGTGTGGTGAGTTATCTCGCGAAGTCCCTTTTCTATTTCCTAGTCGTTGCAATTATTTCTGATTATCATTTATGAAAGAAATTAATCTCTCTCTTTTTTTAAATGCAGGCCCTTCAGAAGCTGTGGTGGTATCCGCCTCTCGCAACAGCTGTCATATCAAAACTGAATGACGCCTGTGAAGATGAGTTAAGGCCTTTCCTTGAGATACAACATGTGACCAGGGTAAGCGATATTAGTTACTTTCTGTACTGTTCCTAAATAATGACCTATGATCAAAATCTGTTGCCCTAACTGTAATTTAATGAAGCTTTTAATACCCTGTTACTTATCCTTCTCTTAAGAGCCGAGCAAAAATCCTTTTCAAGATGGGTTGCCGCTCTGTGAAGGATGTGGCTTGTATTTATCCACCTTCACTTTTATGTGAAAACATCAAATACTTAGGAATTGTTTCTGCTGTTGAAATGATTATGGATGCCAGGGTAAGTTAGGTGTTTCCATGATATAACTTCTTTGGTGTAACTCCTATTTGAAAATCCACAGTAGTACTGGGCAAAACATGAGGTAATTTTTTTTTTCTTTATTTCAGAGACATCTCTCTCGTGAAGTAGTGAATTTTGCAGCGGAGGCTGATTATCGCATTGAAAGTCTTCATAGCAGTACCTAGTAATTGTTCCCGTTAGCGGACTGATTCACTTATTATTCTCTCATATTCACAAAAATGAGTAAATTCTTCTACCATTCCTTAGAGATAATTTTTGGAAATAAACATGGTCGGGAGCAATCTCTGTAAATTTTGGTACCCTTTGGCAGGGAAGGAAAATTAGATGTGACAGGGAAGGACAGATAGTTGTAAAAGAGCCTTAGTACAATTTTCTATTTTGTAAAAATCCTAGCTCTTCCTTAGATATAGGTTGCTTTGCTTTATATTTTGAAATTACTTTTTTGTATTAAGAGGTCATTTTCAATCCTTTTGTATAATCATGTTAAAATGCCCTTTTTTTGAAATGTATACTTTAGAAGCATTTTGTGTTTGGCTTTGTATTTTTTGATTGCTTTCTCTCAACATAATACTTTTATAATTCTATTTACATGTGTAAAAGTTCATAGGCTCTCTAATGAACATGTTTCTCTGTCACAAAAATTTTTGCTCTGTCAAATTTATAGTGTTCTAGTGTCATAATTAATATACATTCTTAAATACTATGCCCAAATCAATTGCTCTTCTTTTTCTACAAGTTCATTAAAACCAAGCACCCAGCTGGAGACCAACAGAAATGTGTGAAAAACATAAGTTAATCCCAGAAAAACAATTGGAATACTATAACACTTCCTGCACAGAAGTGTCTGATGAAAGACAGATTTTAGAAACTTGCAGAAAGCAGCAAACACACAGTTGAACACTCAGATCTACAGAAATACACTGGTTTTTGAGTTTGCGTACTGGTTCATGATATTGGATGACACACTTTATGCAAATGTAAACAAACAGTACTTGTTTGGAATATTCAGAACTATTTTTCTGTTCCAATACACTGGGGTAAAATCATTGTTGCCTTCAGATGTGTTGGTTAAGTCAACATTATCAAACAATCACAAGATATCTGATGGTGTCATCAGATCTGAGCAGAGGTTGCCCCTTCACAAATTCTACTCATGGTAGTATTTAAAAGGTTTCAGAAAATGTTTTTGACCAGGATGTCAATTTTGATTTCATTCTGTAAAGAGTGCCCTCGTTCCAAATCTGGTTGTTATGCTAAAATCCACTTGTCCTTCTGGCAATAATCAATTGTTTACCATCCTGTTAGGGAAGACAATTTGCGGATTGAAAGGAGGAATTCCAAGAATCATGCCTTTCGCAGAAGATTGTGGCTTCTTTAAACAGTGTACATTTAAAATCAACCTGTACATGAAAACTGATTCCCAAACTCTGAAGTAGATTGGAATATCTTTGTTTTATGAACAAGTATCTCCGATATTTGACTAAGAGTGATTTCCTTAGACCATCCCAAAAATAAGCTCCACAGAATGATTTCGGCAAGACTGTGGACTGAATTATAATGTATTGAATGCTTTTCGTTTAAAAAATGAATTTAGCGTCTTGTCCACTGCCCCCCGTTCCTTTTTTCCTCTAACCCACTGAAAAACTCAGTGAGAACTAATAAAAATAGCACATCATGAATATTTTGTTGAAAGACATTTGTATGAAGGGTCTGTTCAGCAGACATATAGTCAATTATCAAACAAATACCACAATAATAATAAAAGATTCATTTTTTTTAGAGGAATTTTAAGTTAATTTCAATTTAGTACATGGTGTTATAGGTCTAATGAACAGCTTTATGAAGCCATGATTCTCTTAGCTGACCATATTCGAGGAATCCATTTACCAGTTTCATTATTATTATTTTGGTCTGCCTTTCCACGACAGTTTAGGCTTCTATATTTCAGTCCACATAAAACTACACATAAAACTATGCAGAGTAATTGGAATTTGGCAGCATGTGTGGAGCCAGCAGGTGAGGAAAACCACACTATAGCAAAAATTCCATATGTTATAAAAGAGTTGAGTAGGCTGTTTTAAAATTGTAATAAAATATATAAATGCAGCCTGATACTTTCAAATGGGGTGCATTTTAGTCATGTGAAACAAGAAAAGTAAATGCAAAGAAAGTTTTAATTAAGTAATTTCAAACAATGATTTTTCAATACAAATGATAGGAATATAGAGCAAAATGTAGCTTCATGAACAAAAGAAAAAGTAACTCCAAAATAATTGCAAACACTGCTTTTTCAATACAAATGAAATGATAGGAATATAGAGCAAAATGTAGCTTCATGAACA